TGTGTGTGTGTGTGTGTGTGTGAGGTATATGTGTGTGTGTAAATTTGAATCTAGTTTTAGTCGTTATTCAAGGCATACAAGCAGAAAATACTATTGAATGTAATAAAAAATGTCTGACACACTTTTTACCAATGCTGTGTGTGAATTGTACGTGCATCAGTAGTTGTGTTTGTGCCACATGTTTGCAATTTGAAATTCATTTTTCGCTTTGTTTGGATAAATTCATTTTTGGCATCTCGTTTTAATTTTTTGCGTCCAGTGAAAGTAATAAAATTGTGTGTATGTGCATTTTTCGTTACGTATAGCTAGCTACTCTGTATGTAGCATATCGTCTTCAATAAATATAAATGTATATAAGTATTTAATTTATATTTGTTTAATTCTTGCATTATAATTCATTTACAAAGGTAATATGCCTATTAAATATATACATATATATATATGGTATATATATATGGTATGCACCGAAATATCCATAAGTATATTCAAAGGTATTTAAGCTTTGTCCTACACGCAATTATACTAACTAACTAGTTTTGTTTGTTGTTGTTTGATACTAAGCTAACTATGTTTGGCTATTTAGATTGCGATCGAACGTACACTTATCGAATCCATACGGATCGAATAAGTGGCCAGGTGACAACTGCATAAAGTTGAATTTTAATCAATCGAATTCCTACCTTATTAGGCAGCTGACCCGCCTATTACTATAATTTGACTTTGTTTATATTTCGACGATACTGCAATGTGCTGTTCGCATGCAGTTTATATGGCCACCATTTTTTTATTCTAATAGCAATATAAATGAGACGTAATCTTTGAAAATCCTTCAATCACCACGTCCAAGAGTTATGAGATTTTAAAGGCGCAGAGTTATGTGAATTTTGCAAAAGTATCTGAATCTTCGGAGGATGGTAGACGCAACGAAATCGTTGTCCTCTCGTGGCGCTGCCTGTAAACGTTGACTGATTGCTTTAAAAGCACTTGCCAAGACGATTTCAAGATTTACTATCTACAACCTGGGATACAATTTTTCTCTTGGAAGCCTAAGAAGAGTATCGTAAGAGGGTTGTCTTTTCTTAAGAAAACAACACAATTTTCCTCTTCCATTCGATTCTCATTCATGGAGGCCATCAAACTTACTCAGCCTCTAAAGATACTACGCAGTTTAAGAGGGCCGGGGCACAGTACACTGTGTGATGACGTTCTTGAAAAAATTATATTCTGGCTACCGTACTGGATGGCCATTCGCAATGTATTTTAGGTCCAAAGGCAAAGGGGATTGTCCTACGTCTTGTCGGATGTCACTTAGCGTTTATGAAATGAACTCACGTGCGATCGGACGCTACGAAATAAGGCCATACAGGGCAGATGCTCACCTAGACCAACTCATGAATCTGTAATTTCATTCCATTTCTAATATTCTCAAATACCCTTTGTAGACTTACACTTTACGTATATAATCTGAATAACGAGGGCAAGTGACAAGAAGTAAATGATTTTATTTATATACTCAAATTTTCTAATAACTATTTCGTACGTTTAAGTTTAAATGGGTCAGTAAAGTTTTCTAAATACCGAAACTCCTATATATAAATCTTTTTAAGTGTAATAAGCGCTAATTTGCATTTCTACGTTGTCCGATGTGAGCTAATTAAAAAATCAAATTTTTTGAAAACTTGTCCACGAAGTAAGTGCCACCAGCTCAGGTAACCGTGTTTGTCTAATAAATCATCTCAACTACTGATTTACTGCTTTAAGTCAGAAGCTAATGTTAACACGAACATTTTCTCACAACTGTCCATTTTCGAGTCAATTTTCCGATTTAAGAGAGGCGAAGCTACTGAACAAAAACACGAATAGGATGAACGCCACTGTTTAGCGGAATTTATATATTTATTTTAAATTTTTGCCTAATAGGATCGTTACATCAATTCTATTTAAATGTTTTTTTAATTCATGCATTGACTTAGCCGTCTGCGTCTGCGTCTGGCTATGATGGCGAAAATCACCAAATAGCACAATAGTACGAGCTAAAGGAAGATTAATAACAATTTGCATATATAATGCTGGTTCAGTTATACAGATCTGTTCCGAATATCATTTTAATGTGATTATAAGCTCACACAATTTCAGATATAATTCTAAACTCCAACGTAAATGGATTTGAAAGGATTTGCACAATAGGAATGGTCTCAACTAGTTAAGTGGCATGTCTACAACTAATCGATATCGCAAAAGGAGGTATTCAAAATTAGTTAGCTTTTTTGTATGAATTGTATATTTTGTATAAATATGTATATCATTTATATGTATATTAGTTGTGAACATGTTACTTAACTAATTGAGACGATTCAAAGCTTTCAATTCGATTCACTATATATAAACATAAGGCGTCAGGCTGCTACATTTTTGGGGACGCATTATGTTCTCCAACGCCGAGCGCCTTCTTTTACCCTATTTAAGCATCAATTATAGGAATGAATGTGATAGAAAGGGAGAAAATTGGGAAATTTTTTCTCAAAATTTTACGAAACCTTGCCTTAACAGGCAAACTATTCGCATTTTGTACGCATGGAAATCGGAAGAAAGAAAACATAATAAACTAATTCTATTATAAAGATTTTTGATCAACGCCGGATTTTATTCCACGATATGACATTTGTGTGTTTGTGTTTATATATGGAATGAAATGAAAAAACTTGTTATATATGCTCTTGATCAAACTAACCAAGATCAAATTTGTAAATGATATCGTTATGTAAAATTATTATAAAAAATAATCTTAAAGACATAATCGCGATGTATATTTTTTTAGCAATGAAGAATGATTGGCATTTTACTCAATTAGTTCTAAGAAAAAAAAAAAAGAGAAAGAGAAAGAGAAAAACGAAGCAAACAAACTGATAGTAAAGATACAAAGAAAAAGGGAGTAAACAA